TGATGAATTTTATACCCAGAGAATCTGGACAAGTCAGGTCATCTCAAGCATATAACCTCTCTGGAAATGCAAATAATACGATATAACCAACAATAAGATGCATGAAATAAAAATAATAAAAAAAAAACCATGGCCAAATGCCTAGTGCTGAGCAGTGAATCCACTTAAAGATAGACCATAACTAAACAGTTTAGGAACTAAGGTTGTGGAACAAAGTATAAATTTTATAGAATTAATATAAATTTGTATAAATTTTACAAGAATGTAAAATACCAAATTCTGGGAACTAAACAGACGTTTGCCTTTCCTCCCTAACCTTTCAGAACTGGAAGCCACCAGATACTGTAGCTTTAAATGCAAATTTTTAAAAACTGCCGATTTCTTCTGTCTTGGATTTTTTTAGGACTCTGTCTCCTACCAAGAAACATCGATAGTCTTTCGGTGTTTTTGTCCTCATTCAAGTAGCTATATTGAAGCCTTTTTTATTTGTCTTAAAATAGTACAGGATGCTACTTTGAATTACTTAGAGCTACTTATCTATTTATACACTCATATATGAGAGTGAGGTATCTGAGATTAAACTTCTAAAATGTTGACCTGATTTAAAAAAAAAAAATTTTTAACGTTTATTTATTTTTGAGACCGAGAGAGACAGAGCATGAACGGGAGAGGGTCAGAGAGAGGGAGACACAGAATCTGAAACAGGCTCCAGGCTCTGAGCTGTCAGCACAGAGCCCGACGCAGGGCTCGAACTCACGGACCGCGAGATCATGACTGGAGCCGAAGTCGTCCGCTTAACCCACTGAGCCACCCAGGCGCCCCTGACCTGATTTTTTTAACCTGGAGGGTGGGATTCAAAGAATGCTTTTGCTTTCTCTATAATAGGTTTCTCTAGTTCATAGAATGTCAGTGTCTCTACCTATGTATTTATGTAGATAGATTTATAGATACAATGTATTTCCAAAAAGAAAGTTATTTGAAAAGCAAAGGACTATAAAGAAAATTTATGCCTTCCTAAGTTGTTTGACTAGCAACTTCTCTCTGACTGTTGCTACATTGTTGTGCATTGAGATGAAGTCGTGATGTAGTCGTTGGCTGGGAGAAAGCATCGTCGGTGCTTTAGTTATAGATTTACACTTGAATCTGGCCCATTCGTATCAATATTTGTTATTCTGCGGTTTTAGTTACTTACCTTTTGGGTCCCAAAGACCTCTTTTGTTTATCGGCGGCATACTGTGTGTGGTTGCATAGAATTTCCTCCCCTGCTCCATCCCATACTATCTACCTGTTTAGGACCATCACACAACTGATTATATCTCCACTCCTCATGGGCTGCTTTGCCTCTGAATGTACACATAAGACACCCATGTGCCTTAACCCTAATTGATGACCAATGTATGAAGCAAGGTAGCAAGCATCAGAGAGGGGGATTATTTCCTCTACAAGAAAAAAAAAAAAAA